TGTGTGTGTGTGTGTGTGTGTGTGTGTGTGTGTGTGTGTGTGTGTGTGTGCTTGTTTTGAAATCGGGTCTCTCTATGTAGTTATGTAGTACTGGCTTTCCTGGAACTCGCTCTGCAGACCAGGCTGGCCTTGAACTCACAGAGATCCTCCTGCACTGTGGTTAAATGCCAGTGTCCCCTTTATTGCCTACTCCTTTTCTTTTTTGAGACAGTCTTTTTCTGCAGTGCAGGCTGGACTAGAACTCTCTATATTTACCAGGTTGGCCTTGTATATGCAGCAATCCTGTCTCTTCAGTGCTGTATTTATTGGTATTAACCACCACATCAAGCTTCCTTTTTTCGCACCCATCCCTGACAGCAAATACATAAAATCAACTAGAGGAAATCAACTGCTGAGTAGATCCTGCCCCGCCTTCTTCTAATAAGGGCACTCCTCTTTACAATTCACTGCATCCTGGGGTTGACCCACCTCTTCCTGTCCCCACTAATAAATGAGTTGCCCACGTAGCCCCGGGATTCTTTTTGGGTCCTTGCTGTGAATCTACCACAGGACTTCTAGAGGCCTATTCCCACCACTTTGAAGAACACACAGAGATAAAACAAATGAGATTTTTTTTAAAGACACAAACACAAGAGATACAGAGTTCTAACAACACTGTTTCAAAGGCAGTCCTTGGCTCCAATTATGCCCACTCCCATCTCTTCCTCTCTTGATTGGTTTTGTGAACCAAAATATCTCCTTTGTGGCTTAAAGTTGATTGCGTTGTTTTGAGAAAGGGGTGGGTTTATTGGTGTTGATGTGTTTTTGCCATCAGCAACAGGAAGTGGCCTGTGTCAGAGCAGTTACACAGAGTGATATAATGGGCCTGCCAACAGGAGGTCTGGGTTCAAGTCCGATTTTTGTCACCAGCTAGATCTGTGACCTTTAGGAAGCCACATCCTCTCACAGGACCACAGCTTCTTCTCAAAGAGAAGTGAAATACTCTGAAGACTACACAGGCCTCAAGGTTCCAGGACCACATGTAAGACAAGCTCACAGAGCCCAATTTGCCTTTAGGGGGAGTCACTCCTCAAAGAAAAGCATGTATGGGTGCTTGTTGAGATGTCAGGACTGAGATCTCTTTTCTCCCTGCTTGTTATCTTGTGCAACTGCCCTCCATGCTCAATTGGCCTTTCCCAGTTGGACGTGGCAGGTATGACTTAAACTGCTTTCTTTGAAATCTGCTTCACAAGCTTGGTTTCACCAGCCTGGACAGTTGTGGGCACAATAACCACCCCTCAGAGACACCTACAGTCCACACAGAGTAAGACTCACCTGCTTCTCTGTTAAGTGCTAAGTACCTTGAAAATCCTCCCAGCCTTATTACCATGCCAGTTCCTCTTGCCTGAATTGCATCCATCTTCTGTGTCCTCTTCCTGCCTTATGAATTGAAGCCCCAGATAGGTGGCTAAGACCTTCTGGTTTAGGTTTACAAGCCAGACTAGACTTAGTGTGGTCTCCAAGAATCTGTATTTTCACCTGGGAATATTCTGATGCATGTTAAGAGAACCATACACATCCTGAGAAGGGATGTTAACACAATTTCTTAGAGAAGTAGTGTGCCTGTTCTCACAGACAACAGGCCATCTCTCTTATCAGTTCCTCAAAAGGTACACATTGTGCTCTCATAGCCAAAGTGCTCTCCCTATTCCATGTATTAGGTAACTTCCATTATTTCCTCAATTCAAATGCCTGTTCTCCTTCTGTACTGCCCACTTCATTAACATCTTATATCCTCAAATTAAATCAAGTACCACATGTCCACATAGCCAAAACATAATGGGTCACTATTGAGGCTAAAGTATAGAGATTTTTAAAAATACAAATTCCTGGGCCTGCCCTAAACCTTCCAAATCAAAATTCTTGGAAGTGGGACCTGATCACTTGTAGTTTCTAATAAACACTGAATGAGACGTATTGGAGTGACATATTCCAGCTACTTCAAATGATTCAGACCTATGCTGCCACCTGAATATACTTCTATGTTTATCAATAGCCTAGCACTTACCACATACAATTTCAATTATCAGTCTTTGAGCAAAAGTAAAGTTATATTTGTTATTTTCTGAATGGTCAAGAACTCATGTGTTGAATACTTTCAGATGAGTGAAGTCCTCGTGGTTCTAGGGATGTCTTAACTGTGGTTAGTTTTAGTGAAACCTATTGTTCAGTGATTAATGTATTAAAATATACTGTAATTAACATGGAATTAGAAAAATTAGTTAGTGCTGCTTGTTGCTCCTGTACCCGTCTTTGGAAACTCCCAAAAGTTCAGCACAGTGGAATGACTAAGACTGGCAGGTGTAAACAGCTCAAACTCACTAAACTACATCACAATTGTTGCCCAAGTGCAGATCTAAGTGGGGAAACTGGATGTTCCAGCCATCTCTTGTTATTACTCGACTGGGTGGTGGCCTTTCCTAGTTGAAAATGGCAGGTATGCTTAAACTGACTTACTTTAAATATACCTCACAAATAGGAGACTGATGTACACAAGAAAAAAAGAACTGTGTCCTTCAAAGTATAAAGTACACAACTGTATTCTTGTCTCATAAGCATTACAGAAGAGGTCCATCTCAGTTTTTCAAATCTGTGTATCTTTACCAACAGTGACAGATCTGTGGCCTATGGAGGCGGGGGGGGGGGGGGGGGGGGGGGGGGGGTGTCTCACCTCCCAGTCTCCACCCCAAGCAGCAGCAGTGAAACTGGGTCTTAAAATCACACGATTTAGGCAAGAAGGTGATGTTAAAAACAAGAAGCCAAGCGAAATTTCCTCTGAGAGGATTCTTGACCCAGGCCACAAACAGATAAGGGGTTCTCAAGGAACTATGGCATTGGCACAGGTTTGACAGCTCTAAGGCCTCAGGGAGCTGTCAGCTCCTAGAGTGGAAGGGAACAGGTGCTCAATCCCCAGCAGGTCCTAGGGCAGCAGCTCGGACATGGAAGGCTAGAAATGACTGTGGAGGAGCCGCCCACCCACCCACCCCCAACCCCGCTTCGGCCCTGGACCCGGAGCTGGGAACCGCGAGGGGACACTGGGCCTTGAGCTGGACACCTAGAGGCTGTGGGTTCCAGGGCCCTACTTACCTGTCTAGCGTCTCCATGCTGGGCTGCCGGGAGCCGGCCGAAGCCCCACCCGCAAGCCGAGATGGTCTCCAGCCAGCTGCCGGTCCTGGCCCCGGGCCCCCAGCGCCCTCGCAGCTCGCCGCCACCGCGGCCGCCGCTGCCACCGGCCTGTCCATGTCTCGTCAAGCCAGGCGCCTCTGGTGAGCTGCAGTCCGGAGTGCAGCGGCGGCAGGCCAGGCTCCGTGACGCGCCCCCTGCCGCCCTGCTCAGCTGCTCAACTCGCATCAGGCGGTCGCCGCCATTAGCTGTCACCTGGCGCCCGGCTTTACCCACAAGGCCAGGCGCGGAGGAGTGGGCGGGAGGGGCGGGGTCGATGCGGGGAGGGCGGCGCTTGGCGCCTGGAGCAACACAGTTCCACAACAGCTATCCGCCCACCTGCCTGGCCCAGAAACCCCCTCTAGCCCTGCTTGAGCAATGGGAACACTACAATCTCTGAAGTTTGGAAACTGCAAAGTGCCTATGTATGACTTGCTTTGTTTTACAGACAAACTTGGTACACTGTAGACATACGGGTTTTTGTTTTTGTTTTAAATGATTGAAGAAGCTCTATATTTGAAAAACAAACATTTTTTTTTCTTTCAATTTTAAATCCCAGAAAGTGTCTGGGTGGTGACATCCGGGGTCCTTAAGTGCCTCTAGGCTTGACATCTTGAAGCATAAACAATTCCATGGGGTTTTAGCAATTTCCATTCCGTTCTTCTCTCCATCCATCCTACTTTCCCCCACTCCAACTCCACAAATCCACCTCCCAGCCATCTGTAGGACAACCACATGCTCCAAAGACGCCCTCAGAACTTCTGCCCTTGGTTTATGTTAAGTTTAACATTTAACTTCTGTTATGCAAATCATCACTATGAAAATCAAGCCAATATCTGATAAATTAGGATATTCACTTTCTAGGATAGACTTATTACCCTGTTCATTTTGCTTTGGTTCCAATATCCAGAACTTATTCTCTATTGTTTCTGCTTGATTTTGTTGCACATGGGTACAGGATTAAGAGCCATTTGCCTGTGGTTGCATTAGACATGGACAGGAAACCTCTGACCTACATCTGACTAAGAACATATAAAGAGAGTACTCGGCTACAACCCAGCCAAAACGCTTAACTCATTATTAGGGATTAAATGGTAACATTATCTTCCAATTTCCATGATGGAGTCCTAACTTCCTGGTATATGATGATGGGGACTTTGGGTGCTAATTTGGTCCTGAAGGAAAGGCCCTGATCACAATAGATTAGTGTCCTTGGAATTTTCTTTGAGCTGTCAACCAGTTCTCAAATAAAGACACAGAGACTTATTATGAATGCTCAGCCTTGGCTTAGGCTTGCCCCACTAGCTCTTTTAACTTAATTTAACCTGTTTTTAATTCATGTACATTTTGTCTCAGGGATTTTTACCTTTTTTTTTCTTGTATATCGTACTTTTCTGCTTCCTCTGAGTCTGGCTGGCTGGCCTCTGATATCTTCCTGGTGTCTCTTTTTCCTTTCTTCTTTCCCCTCTCCCCAGCCTAAATTCCTCCTCCTATTTACTCTCCCTTTATTGGTGAAATTATTAAGGCCACTTCACTTAGTTAAAAGGAAGATTTATTTAGTGGGTAACTTAAAAATGAAGGGATAGGTAGGTCACAGGATCTGGGGAAGGCATATCGCAGTCCAGCAGTGTTCTCTGAAGCTCTGCTCAGTCAACCTCCACTGTCTAGGGTCCAGGAACAGAGAGCACACTTGCCCATCCAGATCTCGGGTCTCTCGGCGCCTCCCTTGGCCCAGCCTTGTAGGCATGACAGTTGCCGAAGCGTCAATGGGGGTTGGAACTTCCAGATCGAAGCTGGAATGGCTACCCACTACATCTCCCCCTTTGTCCAAAAAAGAAGGTTCTAACCTAATACAAGACTATATACAAAGGAATGCTTATCAAATATTGTCCAGGAATAATGAGGGATAATGACCTGGGTAAGATGGAACTACAACCAATGCGGACAATATCAAGCAAGAAACACATACTAAAATCCAGAGAAGTATAGAGCATAGGTAAATGGCATGTTACAAAAATCATTCCAAAGGTATCCTATCCTAAAGAACCTGAATCTAATACTTAATATGTTCTATTATATATATATATATATATATATATATATATATATATATATATT